TCCCTCTGCCTCACCCTACTCCTGCTCTCTCTCCTGCTTGCTCTCTCTCCAAGACATAAATAAAATCTTTAGTAGTGACTAACTAAATAAATAATCAGGATATTGGAGGAAATGTTCTGAATTTTCTTAATGGAAATTTTATACAGCAATAACCATGAAACTCAAGAAAAACAATTTTTTTCATGCTCGGTCCCAAGAAATCATAAATCTCATTATATCTTTGAAATGTAAACACAGCCCACAATCTCCTGAATTGACTGAAAAGAAGGAAAAAAGAGGGAAAAGAGACTAAGGTAAACTTAGGACAAAGTTTTTAGTGAAAATAAATAAATAATCAAGGAAAGTATTTAAAAATTGTGCCTATAATGCCCTCTTCACAAATATAGGTATAAACAAAATTAAGATTTTATGTGCATCTTGTCTGTGTATTGTGTGTGTGTGTGTGTGTGTGTGTGTGTGTGTGTGTGTGTGTGTGGTATCTCTGTGTATGTTGTAAATGTGAGATATTTTCTCTACCAATGGGAGGTATTGTTAAAAATAATTTTCAAGGAGCGCCTGGGTGGCTCAGTGGGTTAAGCCTCTGCCTTTGGCTCAGGCCATGATCTCAGGGTCCTGGGATCAAGCCCCGCATTGGGCTCTCTGCTCAGCAGGGAGCCTGCTTCCCCCCTCTCTCTGTCTGCCTCTCTGCCTACTTGTGATCTGTCTGTCAAATAAATAAATAAAATCTTTTAAAAAAATTTTTTTCGGGGCGCCTGGGTGGCTTAGTGGGAACACCGCTGCCTTCGGCTCAGGTCGTGGTCCCAGGGTCCTGAGATCGAGCCCCGCATCGGGCTCCTTGCTCAGCAGGGAGCCTGCCTCTCTCTCCACCTCCGCCTGCCTCTCTGCCTGCTTGTGTGTTTTCACTCTCTCTCTTTCTGACAAATAAATAAATAAAACCTTTTAAAAAAATTTTTTTTTCAAAAGAGGTCTATTTAGTTAGCTTGAGGGCAAGCACTCCTAAGCATTGGGCATTCTATACTCAGAGGGGTAAAAACTCACCCAAATGTTTTTCAGGTTCACACAATCTGGGAAAATATTCAGTAAAGCTAATTTAAGTTTGTTGGTTTACTTAAAATGAATATGTCTTTAGAGTTATCACCATTCAATATAAAACTTTTATTCTGCTTCTGTCTACTAAAAGTCAAATAAGATCATGGAATCTCTATTGCAAACTGACCAAGAGAAAAACAAACCTTAGAATAGTTGTTGATTTTAACCAAATGCCTTGTGAAGTTTTAGGGGCAGTGTGAGCCTAATTGTTAAAAACAAGTAAATTAAACAGATGTAAATAAGATAAAATAATGAACAGAAGTTTATCTACTTTTGTCTTATTATAGAGAGACTAAAAGTAAATTTGGGTCTATTAATAAGCAGATTTCAAGCTTTATTGAAAGACTGTATTATGAAAGCAGCACATTTCTAAATTATAAAATATATTCATCAGTTTGCCCATCTAAAGAATTCTGTTGTGACAGAGCTCACAGTTGCTTACAACTTGGTTTTCATAGGACATTAAAGTTTTGAAGCATGGGAATTCTGAGAAACATAATTAAGACTACTAGAAATAACAACTCTGTACATGAAGTAAGTAAAATATGTGTTGTTGGTAAGAAAAAGCATGAAGAAGAAAAAGACATAAATGTTGGGGGAAAAGAAAATAAGTTTGTCCTTACGCGAGGACAGTTATTTCAAGAGGAAGCATTTAGGACAAAATCTAAATGTAAAAAAAAGTTCTAGAAGGTTTACAAAGGAAGGATCTTTGGAAAAAAAATTTGTGGCCAATACTGGTTAAGATTATGATACGTTTAAATAAGTAAATGAGTTTTAACATCAAAAGTACAATGGTGCAAAGTTTTTGTTTTGTCTTTGTTAAAAGTACAGTTTTCTTGAACTATTGGTCTGCTCTCCATAAGAAATTGTAAACAAAACTTTTTCTTGGGGCTCCTGGGTGGCTCAGTTGTTAAGCGTCTACCTTTGGCTCATGTCATGATCCCGGGGTCCTGGGATCAATCCCCACTTCGGGCTCCCTGCTTCTCCCTCTCCCATTCCCCCTGCTTGTGCTTCCTCTCTCGGTGTGTCTCTCTCTGTCAAATAAATAAATAAAATCTTTTTTTTAAGAACTTTTTCTTTGTCACTTAAGTTATCTGCCTAAAAAACCATGATTCTAGTTGACAAAATAATTTCCTCAGTTTATCACATCTTTGATTACTTAAGAAAACTGAGTCTTAGTATGAAGGGAGTTACATTTTGCTCACAACGATGTAACTTTCTGTGTTTGCCTTGAGTATCTTGTACTGTCACTTCAGTTAAAAGGATGATTAAACATTGTTTCATAATGATTTGTGATCCTATTCAAACATTCAAACAATTTTGATATTTTGTGACGTACTTCCCAAAATCAAATTCTAAAATAAAGTCTTTTTTTTAATTTCTTTTCAGCGTAACAGTATTCATTGTTTTTGCACTACACCCAGTGCTCCATGCAATCCGGGCCCTCTCTAATACCCACCGCCTGGGTCCCCCAACCTCCCACCCCCCACCCCTTCAAACCCCTCAGATTGTTTTTCAGAGTCCATAGTCTCTCATGGTTCACCTCCCCTTCCAATTTCCCTCAACTCCCTCGAAAGAACCAAGATGCCCTTCAATGGACGAATGGATAAGGAAGATGTGGTCCATATACACTATAGAGTATTATGCCTCCATCAGAAAGGATGAATACCCAACTTTTGTAGCAACATGGACGGGACTGGAAGAGATTATGCTGAGTAAAATAAAGTCTTTTGACCACAGTCTGGGTGTTCCAAAGAGCCCGTGGAACATTTCAGAGATTTTGTGACATTAAACTAATGAGTCTTATTTGGTACCTTACCCTCTATGGGAAGCGTTGCCAAAGAAGTGATATAAATTTATGTAGATAAAGTATTAAAATACTTGTCCTAAAAGTTATATGAAACTCTTAGAAATCTGATGTCTTGGTGTGATATTATCTCAAAATTGAGGAGAATTGGGGGTTAGGTGAGCCTGGTGGTGGTTATTAAGGAGGGCACGTATTGCATGGAGCACTGGGTGTGGTGCATAAACAATGAATCTTGGAACACTGAAAAAAATAAGAAATAAAGAAATAAATGTTGTGTGTCACAGAAATAACCAGGTTTCCTTGTTGGCTGCACTGGAAGAACTCTAAGCAGATCTCCAACCTTGGCCATTTCTAAGTCTTTCCTCATTTACGGACAGTTACACTTAAACTCAGATGTCTCGATAAATGTGCAGATGTGCTTCCTTTTCCATGAGATTCATGGAAGAAACTCTGAGAACAAGTTTCTGATAATCTTAGGACCGTAAATCTGAACTAAGTGAAAATATCCAGAAGTAGTACAAAAACTGGATTCAAGCAGAATAAGAATTAATAACACAACTCTGAACAACTTGAGAATAATTATACTCTTTATGACTTTTTGTTTGAAACTTTGTTACTTTTTTAATGCTTTGTTTTTGCAGATGTAAGGAAACTTTGTCTCCTAAACTGACTTAGAGCAATTTGATAAGATATACCTTTGTGAACAAATGGAAACATTTCCCTTTGCTCTTCAGCTGAACCCTCCAAATTTCTGGAACTGTCAGTGAGTATTCTTTAATTTTCATGGCAATCTTTTTATTTGCCTCAGTTCAATAAATCTGTATCGTCTCGTGACAGGACACATTAGAAGTATGGAAGTCTGCTCTCTACTGCCTGCCTTTAGAACTCAGAACCTGGCTTAACATTTCCTCCCATTATTATTCATGGTATTCTTTTTGTTTCCATAGAAACGCCTCTTACTTAACACCTGATGACTTACTCCATAGGCCTGCTGTTGTGAATCCAGCGGCATCACTGTCTTCTGAAATGAGTCTGCCTAAACCCACCTGTTGTCAGGACTAATACACTGGTTCAATGAGAAAAAACATCCTACCGGCGCAACTTTTAATGTGTGAAACTTCAGAGAGGTTTAAATTTAAATTTAATCTGAGCAACTCATCTATCTGGCAGAGGAAACGAAACATTTGCCTACCAAAGATTTACTTGTTTTCGTCTTCCTGTGAATTTATTTCCTTCCTTTTGAAGTCCCAAACCCCGACCCTCTTCTCTTAATTCAGGATGACATTCAAACTCATTGTGCCTGACAATCATATTTCTGTGCATTCCCCATACATATGCTATTAACTTGTTTTTCTCCTATTAATTTGTCTCATTTCAGGTTGATTCTTAGTCCAGCTAGAAGGACCTTGAAGGGGACAGGAACTCTTATTCCCCTTCCCTCCCTGCACCTGGCCCACTATACCTTCTCTTACTTCTGCTGGTAAGCCTTTGGCTGCTACATCTCCAAGAACCCCTTCCCAGCAAGGCGTTTTGAGGGTGGCAGGTGCCAGGAAGGAGACCCCCATGGGCTTTGTCTTAGGAAGGTTAGTCTGTAGGGTCAGGTGGAGAGGGATGTGCTGGACCTTAAACTGACTTTAGGAATAAAGATGACAAGAAATTACATTTTGAGCACCTTGGAGTAGCTAACATAGTAGACAGCTCTACAAAGACACCAGGAGCCAATGGAAGTCCAGACCTGGGCTGGGGCTAGGGGTGGCAGGAAGTAGGTGTGCACAGACTGGAAGTGGTGCTAGACACTGGGGCAGGGGCTGTCCTGAGAAGGTCACCAGGGACAGACTCCAGGGGCTGCTGAGCAAGGGGCTAGACCAAGGAGAGGGTACACCTCATCCCGTCAACAAAACTACCCAAAGACGGGCACTGCCTTTCTCCTAATAAGGAAATTAGGAAGTAACTGAAGAAAAAAAATTAAGGGAAATAGATGACAGAAACTAAAAAGGATTAATTTAGAGAGAATAAAGGCAAGTGGCCTCTGAGCTCAGTTCCAGTTCCCGGAGGCCAGTGGACATCAGCTGAGCGCCAGGGAGACAACCCAGGCAGGCAGGACATGTGGCCGCTCCCGGTTCTGTTTCTTCTCATCATCCAAGGTGAGTGGAACTGGGGCTTCAGGAGGGAGCACCTGCATGGCTGGGGCAGGACACAGTCAGGGTCCATCCCAGGGTAAATGGCAAGCGGGGCCTTTCACTCATCTGGACACTCAATCTTTTAAAAAAAAAATTTTTTAAGTTTTGTTATCTGACAGGTACTAAGTTGGTGTTGGGGGAAATAAGAAAGTAAACAACGTAAACAGCATCTGTTTTCTAGGACAGTGCTTGTCAGCCTTTTCAGATAGAGATAGTTAGACAGGTGATGGATGGATACGTGGTAGGTGATAGAGGGCGCATACACGCAAACATATGCGCACATACACGTAAATGCATGAATTCCTGACCAGCTTTGAAGAAGCACAGGGACTCAGTTTCCAGTTGAAATCAACCCACTCAAAATGGGGTTCAGGTATCTGGATCATTTAAAAGCCTGCGCAGCTGACCTTGACTTATTCCTAGAGCCTGGATCTTCTCTTCTAAAGAGCTCAGATACAGGAAGGAGGACAGGCAGCAAAACCAGGGTGACAGGCTCTCTGAAGACTTGCTCAGTCCCACACATCAGGCTGCCCGAGTCTTGCTCTGGATGAGCCAAAGACCGGACCACCATCCAGTGTCGTAGGCGCAACAACGGAGACAGGGGCAAATGCTCTGATGGCACCAGGAGCCACCCAGTTGGCTGCAGAATTGTAGACCCCATAAAAGAGACAATGTTTGAGCCAAGCCTTGAAGGATGAATATAAGGGGTTGATTGCCTTCAAGCAGAGAAGAGAGAATATTTCAGGCAGAGGGAACCGCTTGTGCAAAACTATGGAGACTCAGAAGAGCAAGGTGTGAGGTAAAATAACAAGCCATCGTGTGTGCGCGCGTGGTGGTTGTGTGTGTGAATGTGTGAGTGTGTCTGATTAGTCCAATGCCATGTGTCCATTCAAAGGGTGAGGTGAGGGTTTTTGGTTGTTTAGGGGTTAGAGTGTCAGCGGGTACGTGAGGAGGGACCCTCTGTCTCAGCATCTCTGGGATTCGGAAGTACACCACGGGCTGCTGTGTGGGCGCTGCACTGCTGGGGAGAGGTGTTGGCAGAAGACGCAAGAGGGGTCGATGGTCAGTAGGTATCAGTTGAGCAGAGGCCCCTGTATTGGCCAAAGGGGACATCTGAGAGAGGGGACAGCAAAAGTTATACTGCAGGGGATAAAGGAACAAGTTGGGATATGGTGATTAGACAGAAAGCAGAGGCTCCTGGCCCATCTTCAGGGCAGCGCCAGATGCCCCCGAAGCATCCGGACGAGCCCAGGGCTCAAGAGAAGATGAGACAAATGTCGGGTATCTGTCTTTTAGGCTACTTCTCCAAATGCCAAGACGGGGTGGTGAGAGGCACAGCAACGGGCACACTGACCACACACTGTGTGTATGGCCCAGGATGGGAATCCTACAACAAGTGGTGGTGCCGTGGAGAAAACTGGATGTCCTGCAAGATCCTTGTAAAAACCACCGGGTCAGAGCAACTGGTGAAGAAGGGCAGAGCCTCCATCCAGGACAATCCCAGCCGACGCACATTCACCATGACTTTGGAGGATCTCCGGTACGACGATGCAGGCACCTACTGGTGTGGGATTGAGAGAATCGGTTCAGACCTGGGGTTCAAATTTTCTGTGATTATTGACCCAGGTATGCATTACCCCACTCTGATCTGGGCCCTGGTACCCCCCAACAAATATTCCAGGACTGTCCCTCTGTCTTCTCTACAGATGGAGGAGAGTCTCTTAACATGCCCAAGAATACACGTGTGTGTGTGTTTGTGCAACTGTGTGCATGTGCAAGCAAGTATGGGGGGGGCACCAAGATTCTGGGAAAGACTGGAAGAAAGAGCGAGCCCCACATCTCTGCATGTCTCCACCTGCTCTCCCCAGAGGCAGCAGAGAAGCAGAGACTCGGCTAGGACAGACTTGTCCGGGGAAGGCAGCTCCTCTTTCCCTAGTCACAGCATCCCCTTGCAGCCCCAGGCTGAGTGGAGCCTTGTCAGGTGTGCAGGAAGAAGTGGGTGCTAGAAAGCTGTGATCCTGATGGTCTCAGCTGCAGGACAAGAGACCCTCTCCCTGCCTACTCCTTCTCCCTCTCCCTCCTCTGGCAACAGAAGCACAAAGGAGCAAGAGACTCTGAACCCATTTCTGGGAGAAGGAAAGGCAGACTCCAGCAGAGTGCAGAGGCCCCCTCTCTGGCTGCCTCTGAGCCTTGGAGGGGACTCTGGGCTCCCCCACAGCTGCCCCCGAGGCACTAGGGCCTCCCTGGAGAAAAGCCTCGAAAGGGTGTCCAGCTGGAGCCCCCCTCCACACAGCCCCACTTCCGGACCCCTCAGTCTTGTCCCCAACATACAGACACACAGACTAAATGGGAAATACATCTGCTACTCATTAGTCTCCTCACACTTAGCATATACAAATCTGGTGTGTGCATGTGGGCAGTGGACAGCTACGCTGGTGTAGAATGTTCCAGAAATTAACTGAAAAAGACCACAAAGGTGGGTGGATGTGTACGGGAGTGCAGGAGGAGCTGGGGCCAGAGACGTGGAGTCTGGACCCTCCAACCAGACAAGCCTTTGCTGGCAGGCCTGGTGCAGGAAGAAAGGCCCAGAGAGGTGGGCAGGACTGAGGGGACAACGGGGGCTCCAGTCTCTGGACAGCTGCAGGAGACGGGAGACCCTGGGCCAGTCAGCTCATGGGTCACAGTGCTTCGGGCAAAGCTGAGACTCAGAGAAGAGCTGATTGAAAGCTCCAGGGGTGGGGACGTGGCTCAGACATGCTCAGCGATGCCAAACAGGACACGGAGATTGAGCTGAATGTAATTGCTGCAGAGCTCCCCACCCCCACACACCTCCCACGGTGGTGAACTGGTGTTTCCCTGCAAATGACGTAATTGCAGGTTTGGGGTGAGAAACCAAAAAGATGCAAGAGCAGACCAATGTGCCTGAGCGATGTCCCTAAGACAGAAGCTTCTCCACCCTGGGGGTGGGGAGTGGAGAAGGCCATGGGAGCCACCTGCGTTCTCTCACAACCTTGCTCTGCTCTGTGTGTTTAGAACCGGATCCAACAGACTCTCCCAAGCCTGTGCCAAGCACCACACCAGCCAGTTGGGACTCCTCACCTCCGTTTACCCAGGGCACCAATAGTAGCCAGCCCGTGACTCTGATCAACCCCATCAGCAGGTGAGCAGGGCATTAAAGGATGGGGCTTTCCACGGCTGCCCTGTGACTGCTCCCCTCGGGACAATCTATCAGGGAACCCCCTTTGGCCCCACCGATGTTTCCTGGGAGGGGAGAATCAGCAAGGTCTGCCCTGACCCCCATCCTTTATACCTCTGAGCACGTGAAGAACTCCCCACTCCCCCACGAGGAAACTAACAAAGTGCTTCAGCTGGGCTGTAGGAGAGAAGGCTCTGGTCTCCTTCTGATCTGCCTCCCAACCAACAAGAACCTCAAAGAGAGGTAGTTGGTTCCATCCTCGAGTATGCCAGAGGGAAATGCTCTGTATTCTTTTCCTGTGGCTTCTAGAACAAATCACCACCAACCTGGTGGCTTAAGACAAATAGTTTTGTGACCTTATGGTCCTGGAGATCCGAGGTCTGTAATGAGTCTCCCTGGGCTAAAGTCAAGGTGTTGGCAGGGTTGGTTCCTTCTGGAGGCTCTAAGGGTGAAGCCCTTCCTTGTCTTTTCCAGCATCTAGAGACCCAGCACCCCCTGGCTTGGGGTCCCTTCCATCCTCATAGCCAGCAGTGGTGGTCGAGTCCTCCTCACACCACCTTAATGGGACACTGGCTCTCCCCTGTCCTTATACTTATAAACATGCTGGTGATGACGTAAGGCCCACCCAGTAACCCAGGATAATCTCCCCATCTCAAGGTCAGCTGGTTGGCAATCAACTCCATCTGCATCATGAAATTCCCCCTTGCTATGCCATGTAACTTAACACATTCACAGATCTGGGGGTTAGGACATCTCTGAGGGGTGGTGTTATTCTGCCTACAGCTGGACACAGGCGGGCACCTGTTCCATGGATCCAGCCCTGCCCTCCCCAAGTGCTAGGGAAATGCTGGGAAGGAGGGGGAAGCTGGGATTCCTGCTTTCTTACATTCCCAACATGGCCGAGAGGCTGGGCCATCAACCTGAAACGCCCACTCGAAGAAGCGTCCACAGACAGCCAATTAGCTCTTCCATCAGAGGGCAAACACACTGTCTCAGTTTCACCCCATCAGAGACCAGGGTGGAGATGCATTCCCTCCCTGGGTCCTGCCTCCCAGAAACACCCTCCACCAGCTCCTTTCCAGCTCCAGTCCAAGTTCTTTTCCTTCTCCAGGACCCTATTCCTTGGAACCTGGACCCTGTAGACATTTTGTTCAGTCAATCCTCTGAATGAGGAAAGCACTTGGCTCATGCTTGATGATGAGCTCTGTCCTGCTGGTGACTGTTGAAGACCAGTTGTTCTGTTGAGTGGGGAGTAGAGGATGTAGGACTTTTCAGAGACCAAGAGACCAAGGAACATGAGAGGAAGCCTGCAATGTGGAGAGACGGGATAGCATCCCCACAGGGAGTGCGAAAAGAGTACAGTGTCTTAAAAGACATTTTGAGGAAGGGCAAAGCAATGCTTTTGCCCCTCTCTCCAGAAAACCACCTGTGAAATCCACATGATTCATCATGCTCAAGGCAGGACGAAGGACAGAGCAAGGCTGGCCTGCAGGGGGTCCTTGCCCTGCTTGTGGAGGAAGACTTGAGGTCAAGGATGAGGGGTCCAGACTCATGGATACTGAGAGGGACCAACAGGGGGACACATGTAAGCAAGGCCCATCATCCATCTAGAACCCCGTCCACTATCCAGGATGTATGAGCGTACACCCCATACATGCTACCATGGGGGGGGGGCAAAGCTGGGAGAGACACCTCCCAGGAGAACTTTGAAGGTAAATACCCAAGTTGGACAGGGATGGGGATCCTTCTTGCTTCAAAGAGGTAATATTAGATCAGAGATGGAAATTCGGGAAACTTGGGCAATGTTGCAGCTCCAAGACAGATCTGATCCCCGTTAGGTGGGGACTCCTCTCGTCCTGACCTCAGGCATAAGCTCTGGCTGCCTCCCTGCTCCGCACAGGTCGGGGAAGATGGCCTCCTCTGTAGCAGCCAAGAAGCCTCCTGTGTGGACCCTCCTGCTGCCTCTTTGCCTTGCGACCCTGGAGGGGCTCTGCCAAAGATGATGGACCATTGCAGCATGCAGGACTCTGGCCAATGATGGGTTTTAAAATTCCCAACCAACCAGTCACTATAAAAACCAGAACTAAACCAAAAAGCTTGAGGGGGTTGCACATGGCCGGAGACCCCTGAAGACCAGGTGTGCAGAGTCCTGCCGATCCCACCTGCTGCCCCTTCGGTGCCTCCTGGAGTTAGAGTCGCCTGAACATCAGATGGAAGAGGGGTTGGACCATCTCCGACCCACATCCCATCTGTTCGTTCCATACCTTTGCTATTAAATCTATGGCTTTTCCTGGGCTCCTTTGAGATTATTTCACTGGGACGCTATTTCAGTCTTTTATATGTGAGAACAAGAACCTGTCCATACTAGAGGGTCCGAGGTGAGTCTAAATCCAACACTAGAGTCACAATGTGTCCAGCAACTAGGAGGTGGGAGAAGGGAAGAAGGGAGAGACCTGAATGATGCCTTTTTTTTTTTAAGATTTTATTTATTTATTTGAGAGAGAGAGAGAGAGACAGAGTGAGAGAGCATGAGAGGGGAGGTCAGAGGGAGAAGCAGACTCCTCATGGAGCTGGGAGCCTGATATGGGACTCGATCCCAGGACCCCGGGATCATGACCTGAGCTGAAGGCAGTTGCTTAACCAACTGAGCCACCCAGGCATCCCTGGATGATGCCTTTTAATCCCCTCAAAGAGTTCCCAATGAGGGCTCCCCTCCTATAGATGGGAAATTTCACTGATGGCCAGGAGTGAACAAAGAAAAGTATAAGGACTTGGGTTTGGAAGTCATTTTCTGTGTTCGTGCTTCTTTCTTTCTTTTTTTTTTTTTTTTTATCTTAATTAGGGAGAGAGAGAGAGAGAGAGCATGCAAGCTGGAGGGGGAAGGACAGAAGGAGGGTGAGAATCCCAAGCAGACTCCATGCCCAGTGTGGAGCCTGACGCAGGTCCCAATCTCATGACTTTGAGACTGTGACCTGAACTGAAATGAGGTGTCCAATGCTTAACTGTCTGAGCCACCCAGGTGCCCCTGTTTTCTGTATTTTCAAAAAGAAAATCATGGTATATATATACCTCACATATTGAAAGCCTTCACAAGCTAGGTGTGCAGTGAATGAGCCTTTTTTAAGCAGCAATACTTGGTTTACTGTCATTGCAGTCAAGATCTTAATAGGGATGCGGATATATGACTATAAATCGGTCAAAACTAAATGAAGTTACCCTTTTTTTCCTGTGTAAGTAATAAGTGTTTTGTGGGGAGGGACTTTGAAACAATGTAAATATCCACATGTCCCTGTATCTATATCAGTGGCCTCCAAGGACAGGGGACTCACCCAGTGGTCACAAGAACAATTCATTTCTGTCCCTCCCTTTGTCCCTTAGCCTCTCTGGTCCTTTAGGTGCAGGGCTCCAGGGACAGTCTGGACGTCTCCATCCAGACGGGACAAATGAGGGCTCAGATCTGTCCACTTCATGCCTGTGATGCCGTCCATCCCCAGTCAGCTCAGACCACCATCACCCCCTCCTGAGTTTCACCTGAACTTTGCCCTGCCCACCCTCCCCTGCTCCCCAGCAGAGCAAGGGCAAGACAGAATGCTGGTCCCTTCCTGTTTAACTTCCTCCCACTCACATCAAAAAATAACACAAGTCTTTTCCTCTTTTAATTTTCAAAGGTATACATATTTTTTCTCAACAAAGGTTTTGTTCTTTGGTTGTTGCTGGTGTTTTGTTTTTTCTCCTGTCTTCCACTTAATATTTTTCCTGGGCTCTGGCTACTCTTTTTTGTGTCCATATTTTTTGAACCAATTTTGGGGAACTATATCTCTTTTTTGAGCTCCTTGTCAGTGAGGTCGTTGTCTGTAATTTCTCTGAGAACAAGCGGAGTCCTGGAGCATTTCCTTTCTTTTTTTTTTTTTTTTTTAAATTTCAGCATAACAGAATTCATTGTTTTTGCACCACACCCAGTGCTCCATGCAATCCGTGCCCTCCTTAATACCCACCACCTGGTTCCCCCAACCTCCCACCCTCCACCCCTTCAAAACTCTCAGATTGTTTTTCAGAGTCCACAGTCTCTCATGGTTCACCTCCCCTTCCAATTTCCCTCAACTCCCTTCTCCTTTCCGTCTCCCCATGTCCTCCATGTTATTTGTTATGCTCCACAAATAAGTGAAACCATATGATAATTGACTCTCTCTGAAGCAAATTTTTGCTGGCACTCTGTTCCTCTCCTTGAGCCCCTTCGAAAAGGTGCTGGTTTGTTTTTGTCTGGCGCTTTCCTTTGAAGGTCGTCAGGGCATCTCTGAAGCTGGTGTGTCAGGTTGGGGGTGGGGCGTTCTGCCGCAGTGGGCATCTTCTGGGGGGAACACCTCCTCCACAAGCCAACACCTGCAGCCACACGGTTCTGCGTCGCCTGTCAAGAAAGGGTGAGACCTCAAGGCCTGTGTCTTACCATGTGAGAGCTCCTGGCCACCATCCCCTTTGCAGGGCTGAGTCCCAGAGTGGCTCTTTGCAGCAGCCAGCAGCCTCCCCACAGCCCTCCATGCCCACGGCAGAGGCAGCACCTTCCTCTTTACCGTCTTGCCTGACCCTAGAATGGACAGAGCCAAATGGTCCCGTGATCCATACTTAGATTTTCCTTGTGACATAAAACAGCGATCACTTTGTCATGTCACAGATTCCGCGGTCAGGAATTCAAACGGGTTGAGAGGGGACAGCCTGTCTCTGTTCCATCATGTCTGGGGCCTCAACTGGGATGACATAATGCTGGCGGGGTGACTCACATGGCTGGGTGCCACTGTCATCCAGAAGCTTCTTTGCCCGTGTGTCTGGATCAGGAGCCAGGGTGACCCAACACGGAGCCCCGTCCTGACTGTGGACCCGAGACCCTACAGGAGACCCTACCTCTCCATGTGGCCGCCGGGTTCTGAGTGGGACAGTCCCCAGAGCCAGCATTTCTAGAGACTGAGCAAGGAGCTACGGGATTCCTCCTGGCCTGGCCTCGGATGTCACACAGGGTCACTGTCCCCAGGCTCCATCCAGGCCTTCTGACGGGGACGAACATTGCTTCTTGGAGGGTGAAAACTATTATACTCTTTTCATGTACAAAACATAGATGATCGATTGGTAGATGGATCAATTGATGGACAGATCAGTAGAACATGGACATATACAGCATATCTTTAGTACTAAAATGTCATAGCTTGGGGGGGCATTTCTAGGAAGAGAAAATGAGTAAACAGGCTCCTTAGAAGATAATCATGGAAAAAAGTTGGGGCAGCGCTGCTCTGGGCTTCTGTCTGCAGCAGCCACAGCCCTTCCCGACGCAAGGGGTGGGGACATACCCCCAACTCTTAATAAAAGGAGTGTCAAGAAATTTGCAGCCCCATGTTGGAACTGCCACATGGAAGAATTTTTTTTTTAAGATTTATTTATTTGAGAGAAAGAGAACCCTCAAGGGCAGAGCAGAGGGACAGAGCAGCAGAGAGGGAGGGATAGGAGAAGGAGACTCCCCAGTGAGTGGGGGGTCCCATGTGGGTCTCTAGCCCAGGACCCTGAGATCATGACCTGAGCCAAAACCATGAGTCAGATGCCTAACCGACTATGCCCCCCACCCAGATGCCTTTGGAAGAATATTAATCTAGTGTCTTCATGTCACATTAAAAAACGAGGAGCCCAGAAGGGCTCAGGCCCCCGGCCCCAGTCATAAGGCCTGGGAACAGACTTGGATCTGCACCGGAACCAGCCTGGGGCTCGTCCACACGGCATCCCTGAGAGCCCATCTGTGTACTTGAAAGGTCAGTTCCCAAGCCTGCTGGGCTCCATATGGCCCCAGGTGTAAACACTAGGCAGACGTGACGACCATCCTGCCATTTCTCTGCTGTACTCACAGGTCACAGACTACACCCATCAATCGCATGAACTTGTGAATGTGTTTTTTTTGGGGTCACAATATTATTTTTTAAATAGAGTTTGTTGCCTACACAAAAACAAAAAAATTTCACTTCTGGTTTCTCTTTTAAAAAGCAGAAATACCGGAGAACAGCGGGTCCTGCGTGGCCACCAGAGTGTCTAAGACCTACCAGCGGCTCCCTAAGGCTTCCAGAACACTATTAAAGCTCACAGACTAGAAAGAAATAAAATTGTCCCTTTGTGCGGATAACATAATTATGTAGAAAATCGTAATGATTTCATACACACACACAAAAATACCAACTGCTAGGATTAAAAAATGAGTTTAATGAGCTACAGGAAAAAAGATCAATACAGACGCACATACACATATACACACACAAACATACACACATACATGTACACACACACACACACACACACACACACACACAGTCCTATTTCGATACTAGCAACGAGCCTGTAGAAACTGAATTGAAACACACGGTGCTAGTCACAGCTGCTGGACAAGAAAAAGAAACACGGGCTGTAAATCTAACAAAATATGCAGCACCCATGTACTGAAATTTACAAAACTCTGGTGACCGAAGACAAGGACTATTTAAACAAATTGCGAGAGGTACCACATTATCAACACAGAGGAGATGTCAGTTCTCCCAATATCGATCTGTAAGTTTAACACGATTCCTATCAAAATCCCAGCAAGATTGTCTTGGTAGAGAAAGACAAGCTTACACTAACATTTACACGGAAAGGTGACGAAACTAGAGTAGTTAAAAATGAGTTTGAGAAAGAATAAAGTACATCACAAGATTCTCTCTTGCCCAGCATTGTGTTTCCTACATTGCCTTGTGTGTGTTTTATCATATGGCCCATATGTGCCTCTTTGGCTGAATTTCTCCTTCGGTGGAGTCCTGGACCAGTGCCAGCTCTCCTGGAAGGTGTCACGAGGGGTCCTCCCCTAACAGAAGCCACGCCGGAGCTTGGGTTCCGAGCATGGCCTCCCTGCCTGCAAATGCAGCACTGAGGAGCTCGAGTGTTTTCTGGAAACTGGCATCACTGGCTTTGTGTGGTGGAGACGAGAGGGCTGGTCTAGATGCGAGGAGCTGAGTGGAGCTGGGGACGCGTGCTCGTGACAGACTGTGTTCCTCCCTGCACACTTTCGGAAGGGGGCCATTGACAAGCACTCAAAACCACCTGAGTCCTTCCCAGGACTGGTGTGCCCCATGGTGGCTGTGGCAACCTGCCATCCCACGGAGCCTCCTGGCTGCAGGAAGGAGGTGGTTATTGCCCTGGGGGAACACTGAACCCGGAAGCTTTTGTGGCAAGAAATTCTTGCCCTTGGGAGGTAGGCATGAGGGCAAGGAGCTAGGGGTTCGGGGGTGGAGAACGGAGGACCCCCCGAGCATGAGCCCAGGAGACTCGTCCTTCCTGAGGACTCAGAGCAAATGTCCTCTGAGAACCAGGATTCTCCCTCGAGACACAGGACCCATACTCCCAAGAAGACCTGGGTCCCTCCAGGATCCAGGCACAGCAGCTCCCCCTGCCCTGGAGTCTGGAGTCTGAACGTCTCTCTTGTCCAGGCCAAGGAGCTACGTTCCTGGACAGGGCCTTCCTGGGAACGGTGCACTACATTGTGGATTATCTTCCTTCGGCTTAATTCCTCCACAGCCCCTCGGAGGCCTGTTCACCCAGAGGACAGCGCCGATCAATGTCAGGAACAGGGGAAGCTTCAGGAAGACCAGGAGCAGGAAGTGGACACTGCTGAGCAAGGACCTGCGGGGGGGACATAGGGACAGGAAATGACTGCCTCCTCGGGGGGAGGCCCAGGACCCTTCTCTCCCAGCCTGTTCCTGTGTCCTGACCCTAGAGCCCTCATAACTCAGGATCAAACTTGGAAAAGATGTGCCTGGGCAGCCCCTCTCTGGGGCCCCATCACCTCCCCTCCCCTGACTGTGCACTACTCCTGGGAATTCTGTGAAGGAGAGGTGATGGGGCAAAGAGAAGAGGCGCCTGGCACTGCCTGCTTTCCAGAAGCTTCCTCTCTGTCCCTTTCTCTCACATTTGTCCTTAACAACCTACTTCTTGAAAACTACCCCCACCCTCACTTTAAAGCCCTGACCCTTATCCTTGGCCCTACACAGGGCCTGAGAGCAACATGGTAGCCCTTTCTGGGTATCTTTGGAAGGAGGAAAGTAGCCTGGAGCCAGCTCATCTCTCTCCAAACCCCCACAAGAAGCACCTGGATCTCTGGTTCAGCAAAGACCTTTGGAGGTAAGCCCCAGTTAGGGCTCTAGAACCAGAAGCCAGAGTCCAGAACCAGGGGGGGAAGGAGAAGGGGAGGGGTGGACATGGGAGGAGCCGCATGTCCACGTGAGCCAGCCTCCTGCTCCCCTGCAGCTGCTGCATGGGGGAGAACGTTCCCCAAACAAGTGATACTTTCCACATGAAATCCCCACGCAGCCACTGAGAATGTAAACATTGTGACCCAAACTGAAGCAAACCCAGCAGAGAGGTAAAAATCTCATGGTGTGCTGCCAGCCCCCACCCAGGATCCCATAAGGCTGCTGAACCCCATTTTCTGTGGTCTCTAGGCTGGGGGCCCTTACCCTGAGCAGCAGGTCAACGGCTCCTCCATGCTGAGGTTCTGGTTGGTGTTCAGCCCCGGAAAGGCAGCAGGTACAGCTTGACATGTGGTCCTCCCTGTGGTTTTACTTGGTGCTGGAGATAAATCACATATCAGGGGCTACTCTATCCCCAGCCATCCACTACGTGCCCATTTGAACCCAACGTTATGCATGATGGCCCACTGGAAGAAGGGAATTGAGAGATGCTCCAAAGCTAGCATCAGGCCACTTCCAGGATGGTGTGAGCTGCTCAGGGACCAAATGAGACTTTTCTAGAACTGGTCAAATGAGCCACCTCTAGTAAGTGTCGGATCTTTCTTTCCATCCCAAGTCTGACTCTGCCTAGGGAGAGAGCAGGGGCAAGCCTGGAGAAAATGGCCCTGCCTGTGGCCCAGGAGCCTCAGAGAGACTGTAGGAGGGGGCTCACAGCACCTTCAGATGGAAACTAAGGCCACTTTAACTCTCTGCTAGGGAGGAGCTAAGTCTCAGGTGTCCAGGCTATTGGTGTGACCAGTGTCTCTGCCCCAACCTCATGACTGCCCAAAAAAAGCAAGCCTCCCAGAGTCTTTGCCTTCCCAGTGCTCCCAGGACAGGCTCCGTTTCATCAACTACAGCCCTTGACATCTTGGCCACTGGGGATTCACTGACATATGAGGCACCATTCCTGCCCTCACACAGGGCAGAGGCATCTAAGTCGATGGGCTCAAATCAATAAAGAGAGGGCAGAGGGGCAGCCCGCCATCAGATACAGCGAGAGCACAGAAGGCTCAGACCTCAGGGGCCATCCAGGCAAGCAGAAAGGAGAGAAACGAGGAGTGGTGACACCTAGAGGAGGCCACGGGTATTACAAGATATTTTTAGAACAGGAGAGAACCCAGAGTGTAGTTCTGGGCTGAGGGGAAGAGAAAGTGTGGATAATTGATGGAGGAAGATACAGATGAGCAAGGAGGGAATTTGACTCGAGGAGACAGGGAGGCAAGGAGATCCAGGGTGAGGAGCCAGCCTCAAGATGATTGTTCTCGAACAAGGTGAGGGAAACCGCCCTCAACCTAGAAGGGAAAGGGGGAAGAAAGAGTTAGGCATCACAGAAGTTTGTAGGGGGAGAAGAAAAGAAACTGAGAGAGTTCACGTCTGATATTCCATGTGCCCTTGGTAAGATAGAAGAATGGGAGAGTCATATTAGAGACCATGAACTTATATGGACACCCATCATCACCGGCTGTGACTTCTCCAGCGCTACTGCAGCAGATAGATTTTAGATAGGAGATCGATTTGCCCTAGATTGCCTAGGATCTTACCCAGTTTTAGCACTCAAAGCCCCACATCCCAAGAAATTTCTCAGTCCTAGGCAAACCCCAATGGTTGCTCACCCTAATTTTAAGATGGATCCAGGGATGACGGTTTCAAGAGGCAGGTAGGGAAATGGTGCATGACAAGTGAAGAAAATGTAGTCCTCCTTGAGAGTCGGGCCTGGCTTAGGAAGGAAGTGAGATCAGGGCAGGGGAGGGGCAGGCAATAAGTGGGGAGAGAATGGAGAGAGGGATCCAAGGACTGGAAACATATGTGAGATTGCGAGTAGGGCCAGCGGGGGTGAGGGTGTGGGAAGGCTGATGCACAGAAAGTTGTCTGAAAGTATAGCGTCTGCAGGTAGGGTTCTGGACATGGACCAGTTTGGGGTGACAGCAAGACGTGCAATGTTGCCATGGAGTGGCTGGAGAGTGGAAATGCAGGTCACTGCAGTTGAGAAGGTCCTGGAAGCTGAGACAAGTTACTTGTTTAAAACTCCCAAGACAATGACAGGGATTAGGGGTGTCGGAGAGTAACCTAGAAGCCAATGGAAGGTCATGCCAAGGAGAAGTAGAGGATGCATGTGGCCATGTGACACAAATGTTAAAGGAGCAGATAGGATAGTGATAGGTTGTGGTGGGGGACTGGGAGAATTTGAACATAGCTTCACCACCCTATAGCACGTGGAAGTAGGAAAAAGAGCAGCTTCCACTCAAGAAGCCTATTTTTTGAAATGAGAGGAGTGAGGCCAATTTCAGGACAGTATAGTCGAGAGAATATTGTATGAGTAAGCTGAAGATGTATGTATGAAGAATTTGTTTCCTTTGGTACAGGTTTCCAAAGGGCATGGTGGAGATAGTCTTGGTGCAGCATGGAGGGGCCTCCCGCAGTGGAGTGAGGTCCTGGCCCTCTGAAAATGAGGGTACCTTCAGCTACACACCCCCACCCATGCCAAGGCTAAAAAGACAGCTGCCTCTCACCCTGCCTTCATCATAGGCTCTTGCCAACACTACTGGGATGAGGACTAGACAAGACCCAGAGACAAGACCCATAAGCTCTGCTGGTGGAGTGAGAGGATCTCTTACCTGTGGAAACAAACACGTTAACGTGGAATGAAGGGTCATATGACCACACATCCAGGAGCCATACTGTCTGAATTCTACACCAGTAGGATCCAGCATCGTCTGCAGTGAGGTTCTCCATGGTCACTATAAAGGTGAGATGATCAGCGTGGTCTCTGATGGACACACGCCCACTCCTCTCTTCTTTCTCTTCTCCCTTGGTCTCCACGATCTTCTCACATGTTGCGTCATACTGTCCTCGGCACCAGTATTTGTTATACCTCTGGTATACCTCCTTGTACCAACACTGCACGCACAGAGAGCCACCCAAGGTGCCTGTCACAGAGCTGGGGCCCGTCAGGGACAAAGAGCCTGGAAGACACAAGCCACATCCCAGGACTCCATCTCAGTGGCCTCCTATAGCAGCTGTCTGCCTGAAGCCCAAGGGGAAAGTTGCCAGGGAGGTGTAGACAGTTCTGGGCTCAGAGATGTGGGCCTGGAGAGACATCAGAGCTTAGACTTAAGCCAGAGGGTAGGAGAAAGAGCTTCCACTCAAGAAGCCTATTTCTTGAAATGAGAAGAGTAAGGCTAATTTCAGGACAGTATAGTAGAGGGAATATTCTGTGAACAACCTAAAGATGTATGAAGAATCTATTTCCTTTGGTACAGGTTTCCAAAGATCATGGTGGAGATAGTCTTGGTGCAGCATGGAGGGGCCTCCCAGGCAATGGAGTGAGGCCCCAGCCCTGTGAGAGTGAGAGAGCCTTCAGCTACACATCCCCACCCATGCCAAGGATGAGGAGACAGGGGGGAGTCACCTCTCTCCCTGCCCTCATCATAGGCTCTTCCCAACACCACTGGGACTGAGGACTAGACAAGACCCAGAGACACTCTTCAGCATGACACTCAACCTCGTCTCCATGTTCAGTCATATCCCCTAAGATCTACTGGTGGAGTGAGAGGATCTCTTACCTGTGGAAACAAACACGTTAACGTGGAATGAAGGGTCATGTGACCACACATCCAGGAGCCATACTGTCTGAATTCTACACCAGTAGGATCCAGCATCGTCTGCAGTGAGGTTCTCCATGGTCACTATAAAGGTGAGGTTATCAGCATGGTCTCTGATGGACACACGCCCACTCCTCTCTTCTTTCTCTTCTCCCTTGGTCTCCACGATCTTCTCACATGTTGCGTCATACTGTCCTCGGCACCAGTATTTGCTATACCTCTGGTATACCTCCTTGTACCAACACTGCACGCACAGAGAGCCACCCAAGGTGCCTGTCACAGAGCTGGGGCCCGTCAGGGACAAAGAGCCTGGAAGACACAAGCCACATCCCAGGACTCCATCTCAGTGGCCTCCTATAGCAGCTGTCTGCCTGAAGCCCAAGGGGAAAGTTGCCAGGGAGGTGTAGACAGTTCTGGGCTCAGAGATGTGGGCCTGGAGAGACATCAGAGCTTAGACTTAAGCCAGAGGGTAGGAGAAAGAGCTTCCACTCAAGAAGCCTATTTCTTGAAATGAGAAGAGTAAGGCTAATTTCAGGACAGTATAGTAGAGGGAATATTCTGTGAACAACCTAAAGATGTATGAAGAATCTATTTCCTTTGGTACAGGTTTCCAAAGATCATGGTGGAGATAGTCTTGGTGCAGCATGGAGGGGCCTCCCAGGCAATGGAGTGAGGCCCCAGCCCTGTGAGAGTGAGAGAGCCTTCAGCTACACATCCCCACCCATGCCAAGGATGAGGAGACAGGGGGGAGTCACCTCTCTCCCTGCCCTCATCATAGGCTCTTCCCAACACCACTGGGACTGAGGACTAGACAAGACCCAGAGACACTCTTCAGCATGACACTCAACCTCGTCTCCATGTTCAGTCATATCCCCTAAGATCTACTGGTGGAGTGAGAGGATCTCTTACCTGTGGAAACAAACACGTTAACGTGGAATGAAGGGTCATGTGACCACACATCCAGGAGCCATACTGTCTGAATTCTACACCAGTAGGATCCAGCATCGTCTGCAGTGAGGTTCTCCATGGTCACTATAAAGGTGAGGTTATCAGCATGGTCTCTGATGGACACACGCCCACTCCTCTCTTCTTTCTCTTCTCCCTTGGTCTCCACGATCTTCTCACATGTTGCGTCATACTGTCCTCGGCACCAGTATTTGCTATACCTCTGGTATACCTCCTGAGCCTGGAAGACACAAGCCACATCCCAGGACTCCATCTCAGTGGCCTCCTATAGCAGCTGTCTGCCTGAAGCCCAAGGGGAAAGTTGCCAGGGAGGTGTAGACAGTTCTGGGCTCAGAGATGTGGGCCTGGAGAGACATCAGAGCTTAGACTTAAGCCAGAGGGTAGGAGAAAGAGCTTCCACTCAAGAAGCCTATTTCTTGAAATGAGAAGAGTAAGGCTAATTTCAGGACAGTATAGTAGAGGGAATATTCTGTGAACAACCTAAAGATGTATGAAGAATCTATTTCCTTTGGTACAGGTTTCCAAAGATCATGGTGGAGATAGTCTTGGTGCAGCATGGAGGGGCCTCCCAGGCAATGGAGTGAGGCCCCAGCCCTGTGAGAGTGAGAGAGCCTTCAGCTACACATCCCCACCCATGCCAAGGATGAGGAGACAGGGGGGAGTCACCTCTCTCCCTGCCCTCATCATAGGCTCTTCCCAACACCACTGGGACTGAGGACTAGACAAGACCCAGAGACACTCTTCAGCATGACACTCAACCTCGTCTCCATGTTCAGTCATATCCCCTAAGATCTACTGGTGGAGTGAGAGGATCTCTTACCTGTGGAAACAAACACGTTAACGTGGAATGAAGGGTCATGTGACCACACATCCAGGAGCCATACTGTCTGAATTCTACACCAGTAGGATCCAGCATCGTCTGCAGTGAGGTTCTCCATGGTCACTATAAAGGTGAGGTTATCAGCATGGTCTCTGATGGACACACGCCCACTCCTCTCTTCTTTCTCTTCTCCCTTGGTCTCCACGATCTTCTCACATGTTGCGTCATACTGTCCTCGGCACCAGTATTTGCTATACCTCTGGTATACCTCCTCCGTACTGACACTGCACACTCAGAGAGCCACCCAAGGTGCCCGTCACAGAGCTGGGGCCTGTCAGGGACAAAGAGCCTGGAAGACACAAGCCACATCCCAGGACTCCATCTCAGTGGCCTCCTATAGCAGCTGTCTGCCTGAAGCCCAAGGGGAAAGTTGCCAGGAAGGTGTAGATGATTCTGGGCTCAGGGATGTGGGCCTCGAGGGACATCTAAGTTTAAAACCTAACCCAGAGAGTCTGGAAACAAGGGCCAGCAAGAGAGGTAGGGATCTGTGCCCTGTGAGCCTAGAAACACTGAGTAACCACACAAGGATCCTGCCCCTTGGGGACAGGGAGAATGAGAACAAAGCTGGAGAGGGAACAGCATGAGCTGGCTGTCCTGCCCTGTCTTAGCCTTTGCAGGCATGAGATTCAGTGAGATATAAAAACACTTCCCTTTGCAGTGAGCCTCTGCATTCAGGTTTTCTGCAACTCAAGCTTGTTCTGTAGGAGCACAGCTTCTTGTTTACTCCACTCTAGAGGTGTTCTCAAGAGAGGAAAATAAACCCCTGGCCTTCCTCCAGTCTCGAAGGAGGAGCGACACACTGCTAGGAAGGGCTGGGTCCCAAGGAGACTCTCACAGGCTCCTTGACATGAGTTTAGGGCATGAACTGACCACCCCTAACCCCATCACTGTACCCAGGACCTTACCATCTTTCTTTACCACCTTTCCCCCTTCCTTTCTTAAGCTAGCCATACAGCCCTCCATAAATGTAAAGTGGTCACATTTTTCCAATGTTTGTAACCCCAGGTGTTTGTAATCCCAAAGGGTATGGTGGGTGGGAGAATGCTGGAACAGAGAGTGGGGAGCTAAGCCAGGAGCTGGGATGGGAAAGAACAAAAAAAAAAAAAAAAAGAACCAAAATTTCAGTCTCTACAAGTGACTCCAAAACTTTTATCAGGACCCAGGAGGAAGTCTAGCTGTAAATGGACAGGAAGCTGAACCTGTGGCCTCGGAGAGATCAGCCAGTCCACGTGAAGGGGTGGGAAGAAGTTTCCGTCTCTAGTTTACCTGAACCCAAGCAAGGGCATTTAGGCAATTTTATCAGAGTTAAGCAAGCAGATGTGAGGAAGCCGTGATATGCTGGTAAACCAGCTCTGGGCAGGGAGCAAGGCGGGGTGCAGGAGAGTCAAGGAGAAGCCATGGTTCATAGCATTTCCCAGTTTCTGTGGTGTAAACACTCTCAGTATGACGAATTTCATGCTAACAATATGCTGTCACTGGTTGTAAGGTTGGGAAAATAAGTCTGTGATCAGCTCTTGTGAATGAGTGCAAGCCAGCTCCAGCCACTGCTGCTTTGGTGCCCATTTCCTTAATTACAGTGATTCAGAAAAAGTCCATCATCAAGAGGAAGAAGAAGAGGAGGAGGAGGAGGAGAGGGAGGGGGAGGAGGAGGGGGGAGGCGGAGGAGGTAGGGGGGGAAGGGAGAGAAGAAAAAGAAGGGAAAAAAAGAAAATAACCATTATTATTTTCATCCTCATTTAAGACATTTTGAGCGTCTTCCATCTGTAAAGAGATATATCTCTTAAATGTCTTTCTGAGTCTAAGATCTCAGTTATGAGGGCCCCAGGGGACCTTGAAGACCATCCCATCCACTCTCCTGTGTTACTGAGAAGAAAATTATGTTTTAGCCAGTGTCACCCAACTGGTCTTCTTTCTTTAAACGTCTGCCTTTCCCACCCACTATTCTGGGACAGTCCATCATTATGTTGGGCAGGTTCTATGTCTTACCCAACATAAAAATTATTCTACAAACATGAAGAATACCACCTAATTTTTACCCTGAACTTACTTTCCACAGAGAATGGGCTCTCATGCATGTTGAATGTCTTTTTTTTTAAAGACTATCTTCTCCAAAACGATTGTATTTACCTAACTGCAAAACACCTTGTTCTAGCAGGGGTTTAAGATGCATGCTGAGGGTACCTTTTTGGTCCCTTCTTTAATTCCTGCTAAGAAACATTTCCAACCCCTTTAAACTAAGTTCTGACACATTCTGAACTATTGCTAATGCCTGAACTTTCCATGATCTTTAAAGAGATCAACACTTTCACATAAGCTATTCTCTCCTTCCACTCAGCAAACTCATTCATCCTTCAAGACCAAAGTCCAGTGAAGCCTCGATAAGGACTTGCACTGGATCAAGAGCAGTGTTTGGGGCCCCTGTTGTGCAGCTCCACACCACATGAATAAATTTCTACAGAAAGTTCTATGCTGTATCACAGTGACTTGACTCCCTCTTTCAACCATGAGTCCCTGAGTGTAGAAGTTGCTGTCCTGACACACAGCTGGTCCTGGCACACAGATGGTGCTCAATAAGCATATGCAAATCTGTAGATGAATGCTTCAGTGGATAGAAGAATGTACAGATGGATGAATGGATGTGTCCTCCCTGCTTTTGCTGAGACTTCTCTGGCTTGAACCCAGGACAGACATTCTATCCACTGTTCCACCCCCTCCAATAACAAGTGCCCAAAACCCCAGCCCCACTCACCTGAGAGGCAGAGAAGGAGCAGAACTGGAGACAGCCGCATGGTCCTGTCTCTGGCTGGTGTCCCCAGCAAATCCAGGTCCCCGCTGTAATCCAGGTGTTTGCAACAGAGCCTGCGGTGTCCACTTTCTACTTGCTCAAGTTTCCTATGTGTTTCTGTCTCTCACCTACTTCCTTTTTCATCTCCTAGATACTTCCTAGTTTGAAGCCCTACTTAGGAAAAGGGGAAGAGCGTCAAGAGATCAGAGAATGGACTACGAACAAGAGAAATCTGCTGGTTTTTCCTGGCAATAGAAAGTTTGGATCATACCCTGAGTCTTCATGAAAGTCAGTCCCAAAATATGAAACCTCCAACAGAGGAGAGCCTTTGTCCCCATCTCTCATTCTTCTTCCTGTCCAAGGCTACTTGCTCGACCTAACCAGCTGTCCCTTCTCTCTGACTACATACTTTTGGGTCATAAAACACCCCACTTAAATATCTGGGGTGAGGACTCCCCATGAATCTCTCAACCACTACCTCCATGTGGTTGATCTCATACCTCTTCCTCTAACGTAGTCTCTCTTCTGGGCTCTGGACCCAACTTTTTGACTACTTGTGGGGAAGCTCCACCTGCTTGTACACCCTTAATCTATTTCAGTATAAAGGTGTTGGTGAAGGGCATAGATCCCGGAGTCATGCAGATTTAAATCCCACCTCCACTGTGTACTAACCATGTGCCCTTGGGCATGTTGCTACATCACTCTCATCCCTAGCTTCTTCATCTATAAAATAGAGTCATAGTAACCATCCTCACCTCATAGAAATAAAGGAGTGAACAAACATAAAGCACTTGTCACCGTGCCTGGAACATAGTAACTGCTCAGTAAATGTTAACTCTTTAGAATAGTCCTGGATCAGGACTAGCTTCTCATCCGGTCTGTCAAACAGTTATACACTCCCTCCAATTCAACTTAAACGTCAGAAACATATTCTTCTCGAAGACACAGGTATTGGCTTTGCCCAAATTATTTAAGTTTACAACAAAGCTGTGAGGCAGGTACCGTTATCCCCACTTTACAGATAGGAAGACAGAGGCACAGAGAGGTCCTGAAACCAGACATCATCAAATCAAGTCCATAAATCCTAGTCTAGTTTGTTAGCCATAGGGATATGGGGAGAAAGCTGCCCGGTGTCATCCATGCCCAGAGCCATTCTGCTTGGGGACAGCAGGAGGTCCATAGGGCTCTGGCCTGCCCACCTCCACCAGCAACTGTCGGAAGCACCTGGAACACATACATTTGGGAGAAGAGGCTTAACTCCTAGGAGAAAAGGCTCATCTTATCACTGTCTGTTCCACCACACCAGAGAGGAGGTAGAAGCTGGGGCAGTGCAAAGCTGAGCACAGACAACATTATTAGGGAAATGCAGCCATCAAGGAATGCAAATCAAAACCATGGTGAGACACTACTTTACACCCACTAGGAAGACTACCATCAAGAAGTCAGATAGTAAGTCTTAACAAAGATGTCAAGAAGTCAGAACGTCCATATACGCATTCATGGGAAGAAAAATGGTGCACCAGTTTGGAAAACAGTCTACAAATTCCTCAAAGGATTCCACATAGAGTTGCCATAAGACCCAGCAATTTCACTCCTAGGTGTACACCCAAGAGAAATGAAAACATATGTCCACACAAAAACAGGTACACAAAGGTTTTTAGTAACTTTATTCAGAATAGCCAAAAGGTAGAAACAACCCAATGTCCATCAGCGGATGAACAGATAAACAAAATGTGATCTAACCTCACAATGAACTATTACTCAGCCATTAACAGGAATGAGACCTGCTAGAAGGTGAACCTGAAAACATTACGCAAAGTGAAGGAAGTCAGTGACTGAAGACCTCATAGTATGTGATTCCATTCATTGCAAAGACGAGAACAAGGAAATCTATAGATACAGAAGTCATGTAGTTGTTGCTTAGGACTTGGTGAGATTCAGAAAGGGATGATAGCTAGAAAGCATGGGGTTTCCTTTCGAAGATGATGAAGATGCTCTAAGATCGGGTGTGGTGATGGCCGCACATATCTGTGAGTACACCAGACGCCACTGAATGGCATACATTACACGGGCAAGTTGCATGATATGTGAACTATATCTCAATAAAGCTTTTTTTTTTTTTTTTTTTTTTAAAGATGAGCACAGAGAGGCAGGAGACCGGCTGGTGGGTGGGAAGGGAGAGGTAGGGATGGGAGACAGGTCTCAGAATGGTGTTTTCCTCTGCACCCCCACACCATTCCATGTCTTTATTCTTCATCCAGAGCCCAGCACATGGGCCCCGGGAAGACCAGGCTTTTCAGAGCATCAGCAGCAGGAAGTGAAGGGACCAGGGTACGGGAGATGGCACCACACAAAAGAGCTGCCTCCCAGAGACAGGTGTCTGGACCTCTCTCCCACCCTCAGCAATGAGCAACCCATACACAGGAGAAAAGTCAGAAAGCTCAGCTCCAAAATTAGAAGAGAAAGAATTAGACACCTGCCTATATAGGCACTGCTGAGCAAAGGAAGGATGAAGCAGTGACGAGGACAAGCTCATCCATAATTTCTTCTTCTAACATTTCCTTTATTAAAAAAAAAAATCCACACACCTCTTGAAAGGCAGTCAAGATAGAGTTCTAGGAAATAAAATAATTAAATGACAAATGCATTTTGAAAACGGAGGAAAATTTGGTGGACCCTGCATAAAACAATGGAGAGGAAGAATAATGTGGCTCAAAACCCTAGTGATTAAGGAAAGAATTTCTCTGGGGTCCGTCCAACTCCTGAGAGGATGCCACACAAGCACTAATAAGCAACTACCATAGAAATAGAGCCTGGTGGTGGGTATCAAGGAGGGCCCGTATTGCATGGAGCACTGGGTGTGGTGCATAAACAATGAATCTTAGAACACTGAAAAAATAAAATTTTTAAAAAAGAAAGAAAGAAATAGAGCCTCTAGAGTGGAAGTGTGATGTCCCTGAATGGGTGCCAAATCCGGATGCCAGTGTGTGAGGAATGCAGATGTTGCTGGTGCTTTTGAAAGAAAAGGAGGAAGCTTTGAAATTTGATTCAGTGGCTTTCCTGCTTTCAAAATTTCGCCATCTCCCCTTTGGCTACAGTCAAGTCCAGACCCTGCTGTGATACACCAGACCCAGCTCCTGGTTGGCCTCCAGCCTCTCCCTGTCCTCCACAGCTCACACTCTGGGCCCTGGCCACTGTAAAGGACTTCCAATGCCCAAACAGCAGGTGCTCCCTTGAGCCAACAAGCCAGTGCACATGGTGATCTCTCGACGCCCATCCAACCTCCCATCCACCTGCCCAGGCACATGTACCCTCTCAGCTTCCTTTGAGATGCAGATAAATCCTTCCCTCCCAACCTGGGCACTGGCAGACTTGACCCCTGCCTCTGAGCCACTGCCCCACCTGTGTTCATGTCATTCTCTCCTAACCCTGCCCCAACATGCTTTCTCGGGTTTTCTGTCTTCGGTGTTGCTCTGTTTTGTTTTGTCTTTGGAGGGTCCCTCAGGTCCTGCAGGTTGAGTTCACAGGCCCAGGAAAACCACCCTTCACCAAACTTGTCCTTTCTTTACCTGGTGCTTTCAATCCCATCCCCTGTTCACACACCTCAGAGACAATCCTTCAGTGGATGTCCTTGCCTCCGCATGATTATGAAGAACGTATGCTTGCTTTGTAGGCATATGCTTAAAACCACACGGTTTCGGGCCATCCATCTCATTCTGGTGTTACTTTTCTCATGCAGCACCGGGTCCTGAAGCCTCATCCGTGTCACTGAGTGTCCATTTTACTGTTTCCAGCTTCAGCTTCTCCTCCGCAGCAGGTGCCCGAGGCCACTCATCAGTGCCCGGTGTTGGATGTCTAGGTGGCCCCCAACTCCTTGCCTCCATGAATGGCACCTAATGAACATTCTCTAGCACACACCCCCTAGGGGCCTGCAGAACATGTTCCCGGGATATACACCCAGAGCATGGTTTCCAGGCCCCAGGAAAAACATACCCTTAACCTGACAGATTGCTGTCCAGAATGGCCACGTTGGACGGTCGGGTCTCATTCCTTAAAGCCAAAGTTTACAGTCAGAACCTGTTTCACTGAGTGGACCAGAGTCTTCACCAACTGTGCACTGTGATCCCTGTGACGTCCCCCGACCCCTTGATGCTGGCCAGCCGTTTGGTCTGGATTAACTCAGTCAGGTGAAAAATAATGTATATATGTATAATAGTTCTTCAACTCTTACTGAAATCTCTCTGTCTAGACTCTCCACAGCTTAAGATCAATTCAGGACCCTTGTTTGGCCCCTCAAGGGAAATAAACCAGGGCCACCCACCAGGACCCTCGGGTGCATTATCAACAATCGCTTCCTGCCTGCACACACCACAGGGGACTCTGCGCGTCTCGTGGCTGCACACCCAAGCCGTCACTAATGCTGCCTGAAGTGGCTCATTCTCCCAACCGTCCCATTACTGCCGCCCCCAGACAAGTTGTGCTACCTCATCAGGTCTCCTGGGAATCAGGGTCTGCTCCTCTGAGGCCCTGCACACCCCAACACCAGGCCTCTGGCTTGTCCTCATTCTGCTCCTCGTGGGAAGCTTGGCTGTTGTCCCCTTAACTGCCGGCCTCCCACTCCTCCAGAGAGCCCCCCTCTCCCGCCTGGCACCTCTCTAGCTCCCCGTTCTTCATTGGGATGGTGGCATCACCCTCCTAAGGACTGCTGTGAGGCATGAAGGAGATCCCTGATGTCAAATGCTAGGCACAGACCCTGGCACAATGTAGCAACTGATATCACACACACACACACACACACACACACACCAGTGGGCTGATGAAACATCCCCCGCCTCTGTGTCTGGCAGGGAACAGCCGCGGTCTCCATATCCTCCCGCGCATCTGGGTGGGTGGAAACGGTTTCCTGGGACCCGTGTGTTACCTCTCCCCAACTCGCTTCATTCTTTTCTCCAGGGAAGATTCAGTAAGTGACAAGTCCCAGACCCACTCACCTGTGGCAGAGAGGGGGCCGAGCTACAA